AATAAATTTATGTTCAAACATTCTTTTTCTCACTAGCAAAATAAATTTCACGTATTTGCAGTCAACGACGTCAACAAATTGCACGTAGGGAAATATTATTAGAAAATAGTACAAATTCCATATGAGTACATTAAGTGTCAATTACGAACAAAAAGTCAAAAATGCAATAAATTTCTTTGCTGATGACTGAAAAATAAACCTTAACCAAACTGCAAATCCATCCTAATCATACACGCTAATCTGACCTTTATTCATGCATATTAGTGCGTATTCAAGTCATTAGACTTCTTAAAACACGCTCAATCATACCATTACATTCACGTGCTTTTTGTTTGATTATGCGTTATTTTGTATTTGTTAAAACCTGTAAGCTGTGTAAAATTTTTTCCACATGGCTTGCATATGTATGGCTTTTCACCACTATGTATGCGCATGTGTACTTTCAGATTATCAGCAGTTGTGAATCCTTCCTCACATGTTTTGCATATGTAAGATTTCTCATTAGAATGTGTGCGCATTTGGCGCTGCAGATAATAAGCTAGAGCGAAATTCTTAAGACAAGTCTTACATTGAAATGGCCTTTCATTAGTGTGTAGGAATTTATGCCTTCTTAAATCTTCAAAACTTGTGAATCCTATTTCGCATAAATCGCAAATGTATGGCTTTTTACCGGTATGTTTGCGCATATGCTTCGTTAGGGCACCGGTTGTTCTACATTTCATGGAGCAAAACTCGCAGTGAAATGGTTTTTCATCGGTATGTATGCGCATGTGCAGCTTCAGAGACCAAAGATGTACGAATCCTTTAGCGCAGATGTTGCATGTATATGTCTTTTTACAGGTATGTATAAGCATATGTAGCTTCAAACTCCTAGAACTTTTAAATCCTTTACACAAGTATTGCACATATATGGTCTTTCATCAGTATCTGTCTGCATGTGCGTTGCTCGTCCACAACTTGTTGAGTAATTTGCAAAGCCAATTTCGCTCTGAAATGGTTTTACACCAGTATGCGTACGCGCATGTGACTTCAAATTACTGGTAGATGTAAATTTATTCTTGCATATGTTGCATACGTATGGCCTTTCGCCAGTATGTGTGCGTATGTGTACCTTTAAGTTATTGGAAGTTGTGAATCCTCTCTTAATATGTTGCACTCATATAGATTTTTACCGGTATGTATGCGAATGTGTCTCTTGAAATTGCTAGAACACGTAAAT